GAAAATATGTGAATTTGTAATTTTTTTGCTTTACATTTTATTTTAAAGGAGATGCAAGCCAAGCTCGCAGCACAAAAGTTAGCTGAAAGACTGAATATTAAAATGCAGAACTATAATCCAGAAGGAGAGACTTCAAGGAAATACCGAGAAGTGAGGGATGAAGATGATGATCAGTCCTCTGATGATGAATTCTGAAGATGGGCATTGGGATGATCTCCTAACTCTCTGCCTGTTGAGATGTCATTATCTTCTATTAGACTTTCTAACAAGTATCAAGATCAGTGTCAGACATTGTTGAGGGAAAGAATTTTATAGTTACACAAAGGTAGATATAAAAATAGCCCAGTGTTTCTTTCAAAAGATAACTTTCATGTGCTTGAAAAGGTTAATATTTGAATATTGTGTTTAACCGCATTGCATTAAAGTTTTGCAGTATGTCATATGTTGTCTGATGTTTTACTATATAGTAGAGCACATATTTTTCTCTAAGCCAAATGAAAGTGGGGGAACTGCTTTTTTCCTTATTCTTACCTCTATCAAATAACATTACATGCCTTTCAGTGAAATATTTAGTTGTCCTAGGTATCACCTGAAACGAATTAGGAAGATACAGTTCCCTCTTTTTTTGAGTAATGAAGGAGGCAGTCTAAAGAATTTTATGCATGTTTGCATGGAGTTATTGAGGTATCAGATGTGAAATACCTAGGAAGACACTAAGACAATGCTTAAATGTCTGTTTCTTTTGTCTTCCCTTAGAAGAACGTTGTTCTGATTATGAATAAGGTGTACAGTTGACCCCTGAGCAACACAGATTAGGGGTGCCAACCCACACAGTTAAAATCATGTATAACTACGTACTTTAGGTTGATGGTGGAGAGTGGACGGTCTTTCAAAATGACCAGATTTGCCCAGAGTAATGAAATATAGGAAAGTCTAAGAGGACTGATTTGGGTGAAGGGAGCAGCTGTTCTTATATTGACCTGGCTTGAGTTCATTGTTCTAGCAGATGAAAGGTTCAGTTTGGTAAGAAAACCAATTTTTTTAAGTTACAATTTAATTGTTTTTAATATATTGCTCCCCGCTCCTCAAAGAGACATATAGGCTGCAGAAACCTCAATCTCATACATACACACACAGACACACACACACGCACACACACACGTTTATGTAACTAAAGGATTATATGGTTGTCCCAAAAGAAATTAACACAACGTTATCAAAGATTTTTTTGTTTAATGTGTTCTAGCTTTTAAACAATGTTGAAAGGAAGAATAAAATGTCAATTAGAGCAACTTCAAAATGTTAATGATGATGTTTTACTGGTGCTTAAAAGAGACTTTTCATATATGTAATTTGGAAACATTTAGGTCAGATGCACATGTGATAGGAAGGGCTCAGTTCTATGTTATGACTCCAGGTGCAGCTACTGGCATTATCACCCTATTGCCCCCCAGAAAAGCAAATGTAAAACTATATTGAGATAACAGTCTCATTATTTTTAGTTTTTAAAACTAATAGTAAATGATTTCACAACATAACATTATTTGATGTTCTTTCATTATAGAATAAGATAATACCCATTATTTCTGGAAAGGTGGACAATATGGAAGGGCTCACATTCATGTACAGACAGTCCCTGTAATCCTCCACCCAGAGTGAGCCTCTGTGAACATTTGGGTATATGTACTTTTACATATGTTTTTTATGCAGAGCTATATACATTTATATTTTCAATAGTGCGATCATTCTATACATTAACTCATAATCTACACTATATATTGTGAACATTTTCCCATATTAAAAATATTTTGCATTTTAGATAGCTGCAGAGTATTGTTTTATGAATGTGCCATAACTAAAAATCAACTAACAATTTGATTTTTAATTATAATGTAACTAAACAATGCGATCAACATCTTAAAAAATAATCACATCTGTTCAAAAATGACTTATTTCCAGAAGATCCTTTCTAGAAGTAAAATTGCTAGGTGAGTGTAGGTGTTTGAGAATCTCAATATATATATATCACACTCATCACAAAGATTGTGTCCTTTTACATTCCCACTAGCAATAAATACATCAAACTCCCAGAATTGAAAATTACTGTTTAAAATATTTGCAGATTGAATAGTTACAGAAAAGGATTACCTGAAAATTTGTGTTTCTTTACTTAATGAAGGTTGAGTGTTTTCATGTTTATTGACCATTTGTATACATTCTTTTGAGCGTTGCTTATATCTTTCCTATATTCTCTTGGAGAGTTTGCCAGTTTTATTGGCTTATGAATTAAGATGCCCATCTTTGATTATTTGTTATTGTTTTAGTGTGTTATTTGCCTTTTAATATAGTTCATGGTGTTAGCGTGTGGAAGTTTTCTTTAGAAATATACCTTTGCAGGTGTGCTTGAGCATGCCTTCTCCACCCCAAGGATGGTTATATATTTATTCTGTTTTCTTGTAGTACTTCAAAAATTTTTTCACTTTAATACTTATCTTTAATTCAAAAGGAAAATTTTAATCCATCTCAAATTTAGAGGATATTGTATGAAGTGAGATTTAATATTGATTTTTGCCTATAGCTGACCAATTGGTTTGGTATTATAAACCACCATTTCCCCACTGATTTGTAATGCTGTTATTATAGAATATTCCTATGTGCCTTTTGTGTCTTGGACCTATTTTCTGGGCCTTCTGTCCCCCCACCCCACACACACTTTTTAATTATGGCTTTAATCAGAGTTAATATTTGGTAGTATGAGTCCACCCTTATTCTTTTAAATTTTGTGAAATATAACCTACAGAAAAGTACATAAAACAGATGTGCAGTTTAATGGATAAAGGAAACAACTATATAATCACAAATCAGATGCAGAAAAGCTACTGCTAATCCTCCGGAATCTCCCTGTGTGTCCCCTCATGTTTGCCCCTCTGTGTCTCCCAGAGGTGACTACTATCCTGACTTGATGGTAACATTTCCCTCCTCTTAAAAAAAATGCTTTTAAAGGTATGCAACAATATGGTTGGTTTGTTTTGCTCACTTGTGAGTTACAAAAAAAAAATGCAATCAGGGTATGTTGTATCTGGTGTCTTTCACGCGACTTATTGCTTATAAAGTTTACCTCGTGTGGGTGTGGTTTATTTTCATTGCTGTGTAATGTGCCAGTTCATTAATACCACTTTATTCTACTGTGATGGGCAATTCTATATTTTTAGTTTTTGCCTATTATAAGCTGCAGTGAGCATCTTTGTGCACATAAATTTTTGTAGGATGTTTACTTAGGAGTTTTAACTGTTGGAATATAAGATATGCTCATCTTTAATAATATTCATACCACCCCCGTCCATCATGTATGAGAGTTTTGGTTTATCAACATTTGGTGTTGCCAGATTTTAATTTTAGCCAATATGGTTTTATAATAAACATTAATTATGCTTTTAGTTTGCATTTCCCTAATTTGGAATGGCATTGAGCACCTTTATATGTTTATCGGTCACTAGATTTTTTCATTCGAAAAGGACCCATTCAAGTCTTTTGTTCATCGTTCTGTTGTGTGTTAGCCGTCTTTCTCATTGATTTGTATCCTTGATACTAATCATAAATTGGTTATGTTTGTTGTTAATACCCTTATCCTCTCTGGATTACTTTTCATTCTCTTCATGGTGTTTTTGATTAATAGAAATGCTTTATTTTAATGACAAATCGCAATCTTTTATGTTCAGTGTCTTTTGTGTCTCGTTTTAAGGAATCCTTCCCTATCCAGAAGTCAAGAAAATATTCTTTTTTTTTTTTTGAAAATATTCTGTATAAAATCTTTTTTAAGACAAAAATTGTTTTATAATTTTCCCATTATGTCTTTGATTCCACCTGGAAATTATTTGTAACTGTGAAGAAGGATCTTTCAGTATAGCCACTTGTCCTGGTACTATGCCACAGTGTGCTTCTGCCACATATTGAGCAGTTGTATGTCTGCGTTACTTTCTGGGTTCTCTTTAATCTATTAGTGTTACTGTTACACCATGTTATGGCATCTTTAAGAAAAGGCTGGAGTAAAGTGTGCCATCCTATTCTTTAAGAATGGTTTAGGTATCTGGCGATCTTTCAGTATAGCCACTTGTCCTGGTACTATGCCACAGTGTGCTTCTGCCACATATTGAGCAGTTGTATGTCTGCGTTACTTTCTGGGTTCTCTTTAATCTATTAGTGTTACTGTTACACCATGTTATGGCATCTTTAAGAAAAGGCTGGAGTAAAGTGTGCCATCCTATTCTTTAAGAATGGTTTAGCTATCTGACCCTTTGCATTTTCATATAAATTTTAGAATCAGCTTGCCATGTTCTTCTTTACCTCCCCCCCCTTGCATTTTCATATAAATTTTAGAATCAGTTTGCCATGTTCTTCTGCACCTCCCCCCAAAAAATTACTCTTGGTAATGTAAGTCTCCATTAATTTTTTTAAAAAATTCTGATATTCTGTCATTAATCAATTAACTTTTTATTCCTAACATTCTGTTTTGAAATCTAGATTTGAAACCTTGCCATTTATAAGCTAAAGTATACTTACTCTTTCAACTAGGATGACTATTTTTAGTTTGTGCACGTTAAACAGAAAATTCAGAGCACTGTTTTAGTGTAAATACCTGAAGTTACAGTGTAATTTTGATTCAGAAGAATTAGCAAGTTAGGAAGAATTTTTTTAATGGCAAATTTAGGTGTAAACAGGACAATGGAGTGAGTCTGCAGTCATGAACTCTTCCATTTTCAAGTGATTACATTAAGAGAAGTTAAGTGCTAACGTTTGGGGCTTAACCTGAACTGTGGAATATGTTGTGAGGATTAATCTCATTACATAATAGTCAATCTATAGGATAATAAGTTTTCTTTTTCATAGGACCTGTCTCTAATCCATATCAGGCTCTCTAGGGATCCAAGAGCTGTGAGTCAAGGTGGAAGATAGTTTGTGGAATTATCTCTATTTCCTGCAACTGGGGTGTTGTGATTTGTTCAAGGTCACTGAGATGCAGCCAAGAAAAGAACCCAGCACTCAAGATTTCTGGGCACTGGATTGCATGGCCTTGCATGTGAATACTACAAATCAAGGTTGTATTCGGGCTTTATGAAGTGCTAATGCTAGGCAAGAGCTCAGATGACTCTGAGGGTGTTTGTTATGTCTCTATGACTTATACAAAAAAGAGCTCTTTTCTTCTTGTGTTTGGAATGTTTTGTTTTTAATCATCTTAGAACTGACCATTCTGGCCACTGCTGGTATCTTCACTCTTCCCTCCTCACTTGGTAGTTGGCTGCATAAAACTTTTTGGGAAAGAGATGCAAGGAAAAGTGGCATCGGATATCATAAGCTTTATTCAGAGGACCAGGTAAAATCTGGCAATTTATTTTTTTGCAGGCTTCATGACAGTTTGTGACATTAAAAGAAAGTAAAGTTA